CAGATGCAACTGAAGATTAGGGAGTATTTCAACAAGGTCAAAGGAATTTGTGACATGTTGGCTGCTGCAGGACAGAAAATTGAAGAAAGTGACCAAGTGCTACATCTTCTCTCAGGGCTTGGCCAAGAGTATAATCCAGTTGTTGTGAACCTAACCTCTAGGACAGAAAAATGCTCCATGATGGAAGCATACTCTACCTTACTCAGTTTTGAGAGCAGAATGGAAAGCTTTGAGAAGATTGATGATTCAGAAGGATCATATCTTGCTGCAAACCTAACCACACATTCCCAGTTCAGAGGAAGAGGCTTCAATGGCACCAGAGGAAGGTCAGAAAATTAGTTCAACAATTTTAGAGGAAGAGGCTCAGGGAGAGCAGAGCCATTTAGAGGTCGAGGTGGAAGATCCTACTCAAATCAGAATAGACCAAGGTGTCAAATTTGCAACTATAACAATCATACTGCAAAAAAGTGCTACTTTAGGTTTGATGCCAACTTCATTTCTAGGGATTCCAATCAGTCTTCCTCTAATGCATCTTCAAGTGGTGCGAATGATCCTTCAGCTCATGTGGCAAATGTTGGTCCTCAAGGAAATGAAAGCTCTCAAGATTATTATTGGTTTCCAGATTCTGGAGCTACGCACCATCTCACCAATGATTTTCAGAACCTAAGTGTGGCCAGTGATTATCAAGGCAGTGAAAGAGTTCAAACAGCAAATGGTTCAGGTATGAGTATAGCTCACCTTGGTAAATCTATGGTAAAATGCCCCTCATCATCCAATCCTCATATTTTCTTGTTGAACCATCTCATGCATGTGCCACAGATCACTAAAAACCTCTTAAGTGTTTCAAAATTTGCTAAAGACAATTCAGTCTTTTTTGAGTTTCATCCAACTTTATGTTTTGTGAAGGATCTCAAGATCCTTTTCATGGCAATAAAATTAAGTCTTTATGTGATATTTGCATGCAGTCTAAATTTCATAAAATTCCATTTATTGATTCTGAATTTAAAGATTGTAAACCTTTTGACCTTGTCCATTCCGACTTGTGGGGTCCATCTCCTGTGATTTCTCATAAGGGTTTTAGATAATATGTTAGTTTTATTGACCATAGTTCAAGGTTTGTATGGTTTTATCTACTGAAGTCAAAATCTGATACACAATCAGCCTTTCTTCATTTTTCTGCATTAGTTCAAAACAAATTCAACACCACAGTTAAAGTTTTTCATGTGATGGAGGGGGAGAATTTCAAGCCCTTAAATCCATTTTTTCTCAAAAAGGAATTCATTCACAAGTTTCTTGTCCTTACACCCCATAACAAAATTGTCTTGCAGAGAGGAAGCATAGACACATTGTCCAAGTTGGACTTCCCTTGCTTTTTCAGTCCAACCTCCCTTTCTCTTATTGGGATGAAGCTTTTTCTAGTGGCACTTATCTTATCAACCGTACTCCAAATAAAATTTTGCACCACATCTCTCCTTTTCAGGCTTTACATCATCAGAAGCCTTCATATGATCATTTCAGGACTTTTGGTTGCTTATGTTACCCCTTGCTCAAACCATATAACAAGCATAAGTTGCAACCAAGGAGTTTACCTTCTGTTTTTCTGGGTTATAGTCCAAATCATAAAGGTTATAAAGTCCTTCTTCCTGACAAAAGGATTATCATCTCCAGACATGTACTTTTTGATGAACATATATTTCCCTTTTCAACTAACATATCAAACACCATTCCTGTTGTACCTTCAGCCACATCAACTCCTCAACATGTGTCTACCATACTTCCTCTCATCCCACCTCCAGTTACTAATTTTCCTTCAACATCTTCTAATGCTCATACCAACAGTAATGTCCCTCAATCATCTATCCATTCTATTCCATCTACTCCTTCACAATCTTCTCATACAAATTCTACATCTCCTGCTCATAATACACATCCCTCTTCATCGTCTCCACATTCATCTTCTATACCTATTGGGCAAATTTTCATAGATTTACCTGTGGAACAGCATAACTCTACTAATACTACTGCTGCAGGAGCTCACCCTATGATCACAAGATCAAAGGCTGAGACTTTTCAAACCTAAAGTTTTGCACACTCAGGTTAATCCTTCTCTTTTATCAACTGAACCATCAAATGTTCAAGAAGCTCTCATGTCACCTGCATGGAAAGCTGCAATGCACAAAGAGTATGAGGCCTTGCTTAAAATTCAAACTTGGACTTTGGTTCCTGCTCCACCTCACCACAATATTGTTGGCAGTAAATGGGGTTTCAAATTGAAGACTAACCCTGATAGAACTATAGCTAGACATAAAGCTAGACTAGTGGCTAGAGGTTTCAGTCAAGACCCTGGAATAGATTATGCTGAGACCTTCAGTTCAGTGGTCAAACCAACCACTATTAAAGTTATCCTCTCTCTTGCTGTCTCACTTGGTTGGGTTCTCCATCAAATAGATATTGACAATGCCTTCCTTAATGAAGATCTTGATAGGGATATTTATATGTCTCGGCCTCAAGGTTTTGAAATTGACCCTCATCTTGGTCTTGTTTGCAAGTTGCAAAAATCCATTTATGGCCTTAAACAGGCTTCCAGGGCTTGGTCTACAAAATTTAGTTCCACTCTTCTTGACCTTGGATTTCACATCTCAAAAGCCGATACTTCTCTTTTTTACAAGCACCACAATAGTTCATCAATTTTTATCCTTGCTTATGTTGATGATATTATCATCACTGGTAGTCATCCCAATCTCATTCAGTCCACAGTTCATGCCCTTTCTTCTTTCTTCTCACTAAAGGATCTTGGTCCTTTAACTTATTTTTTGGGAATCCAGGTTTCTTACACTGAAGATGGCCTCTTCCTTGATCAGTCAAAATACATTGCAGATATTCTTGACCGAGCTGGTATGAAGGGGGCCAAACCCATTAGTACACCTATGGTTAGTCACCCAGCTCTGTCAAAATCAGACGGCCAACCCTTAAGCAATGGAAAATTCTATAGACAAATAGTTGGTGCATTACAGTATGTGACCCTTACAAGGCCTGATGTGGCCTTCAGCATTAATAAAGTTTGCCAATTCATGCATGCCCCTCTTGACAAACATTGGAGAGCAGTCAAGATGATTCTCAGGTACTTAGCAGGAACTAGAGATTATGGCTTAAGGATAAACAAATGCAGAGACTTCAAATTAACTGATTGGGGATCAGATGTTGATGATAGGAGATCAACATCTGGATTATGTGTTTACATGGGTGGAAACTTGATTCCTTGGAGTTCTAAGAAACAAGGAATGGTTTCGAGGTCCACAACAGAAGCTGAGTACAGAAGTGCAGCTCAAATAACTTGTGAGATGATATGGCTGCATTCATTAATGGATGAACTGAAGATTAAATCACAAAGGCCAAGTGTTGTTTGGGTTGACAACAGAGGAGCAGTCTGTTTGGCAAGCAATCCTGTCAACCATTCAAGAACTAAACATCTAGAATTAGACCTCCATTTTATAAGAGAAAAAGTTGAGAGAAAAATTATCTTCGTCCAGCATCTTCCTGCAGAGGAGCAAATCGCAGACATCTTCACAAAAGCTTTGGCAAGATAATTCTTTGCATGGCTTAGAAATAAGCTAATGATCACATCAAAGACATGCATAGAATTGAAGGGGGCTATTGGAACAACTTCTCAGTCAAGCTCTCTAATATCTGACGTGGAAAATGATGACATGCATGAGAATGCAAAAAGAAAAAATGCAGGTTTCAGCTAGAAGACAATCTAGCATACTTAGCCGTCTAGATGTTCACATGTGTCCTCTAAACCCTAGCCTAAGATTTCTCAGCCGTTACATATAATATCCATTGTGTAAAGATGAGCTGCGCGTATGAAAAACTAGATCTGATATACTGTAGAGTGATATTGAAAGATATTGAAAGATGAGAATTAAAAATCCATATTTGATGTCTAATGATGTTGCTTTCAGTATTACTTTCTTGTTCTTTTCCTTTTACTGTACATAGTAAATTCTAATACGACAATTACGAGAAGAGAGGTAACAATGAATGATTTGCATTTTTTATTTCTTTTACCCTTTTTAGCAATGTTTTAAAAAGCTTTTAGACGGATTGTAATAATATTAATAAAACATCTATATTTAACATCATATACATTTTATGAGATACATTTTATAAAATATAATAATCATTATGGGCAAATACAAATATTATAGAAATTTAATACATTCATAATTATTGCCGTTTAGGCAAAACTCGTGGCAATCATTCAAACACTAGCTGGCGCGGGGTGCCTAGACATATTTATATAAAACCTTTTTTTAGTATTTTTAATGAACATGGAACATTATATATGTAAATCTTAGTAAAATTTAATTTTTCATATTTTTTTAATATCAAATATTTTTATTTAAATATTTAATGAAAATCGATTAACCCAGGATATATTTTTTTTTTTCTGACTACGCTCCTGCTAAGGTACAACAAATTGTAGAAAAAAGCGTAAAAAGATTAGGCCATTCCAATTATTTTACATGGACCAAAAAACTCTTGCTGCCTCACGAATTTAATTTGTTGTTCCCAAGCCAAAACGGATCAATCAACCTTGGGACTAGGCAATAGAAATTATTATATTAAAAGAACCACAAAATTAACTTGCCGCCAATTACTTTATGTTCACAACTCCACAGCACGTAAAAGTCAAACCCTAATTCCCATTTCTCATAAATACACACAAAACGGTGCACGGACTACAAACACTTTTTTTCATTATTCACGATGACTTGAAAGATAAAAGGAGCTTATTCCTATCCACCACATATCTACAAAGAAACAAGGAGATCTGGACTGCGCGTATCCATTTTTTAACCGTCTGATCACACATATTCAAACACGAGTGTAAATTAATCAAATCATCGATTAAAAATTCGTTTGGCCAGGGCAAATAGACTAATAATTAATCCAAGCTAGGACAATAGAATTAATTTACACTTTAGTTCACCTCCCCAAAACACAAAAGGNTAAAACACAAAACAAAACAAACCTAAAAACTTTTTTATCAACTGCTAAGTTGTTCTCAAGAAATCAAATCTTTCTTCAGAACAAATCAGCAGTCTCCCCCAATGCCAAGTCCATGAAATACCCTTCCTGCCCCTGTGCCGATGCGTCGTCAAGGAGCCACTTCTCAAACAGGCTGAAGGGCATTTTCGTAATCTCCATATCCGGCTTGCTTTCCTCATCAGGCGTCAGCAGCTTATTCGCGGCCTCCGAAATCCCTCCCGTGAAATTCGTGCTGATTGCGCCCTCACTCGGGCTCGAGCTCAAGCCCACATAATTATTATTAATATTAATATTGTTATTATTATTAAATGACGAGCTCTGGGTGCTTTCGGACGAGACCTCTTGACGGGAAGAAGAGTTAGGCGAATTTTTCATCCAGCCTTGGAGCAAGCGGGCTATGTTTTCAGTGCTGGATGCGTAAGTGGGCGTATGGGCCAGTTTTGTGGGCTGGCCGTGTGGGCCCGGTAGGAGGGATGGGCCTGCTGGTGGGCCGGGCTTGTCGAGGGAGAGAGCTTCGCAGAGGGCTTTTTTGGCCAGGTGGATATCGGTTTGAAGGCGCCTTTCCCATTGGCCCTTGGAGTTGGTGGGCTTGGGCTGATCGGGCGGGCTGGGTTGGGCCGGGTCGTGGGCTTGGAGCTTCTTGAGTTTCTTCTTGAGGTGGGTGTTCCAGTAGTTCTTGATGTCGTTGTCTGTGCGTTGGGGTAGGTATGAAGCTATGGCAGCCCATCTGGAAAAGCAATTGAAAATGCAAAAAAATGGAAATGGTTATGAGATTGATTCATTTATTATTATTATTATTATTATTATTATTATTATTATTATTATTATTTATTTTATTTTATTTTAATTTAATATATGTTTTTGGTATTTTTTGGAGGAAAAAATGAGCAAGGACAATTAACATATGCCTCCAATGTGATATGAAGAGGCTATGTAACAACTGCATAGTCTTCAGTGATAAATGTTGATTAATAAACCATACTAATTGCAATTTGAGAAACGTTAATAATAAATATTAGGGAATATAGGTTCTTGGTGACTTAGAGTCTAATTATGCAAAAATTATCCAACCTAACTAGAATCTTAAACAGGTAGGTTTCTTGGTGACTGTATCCTATAAATAATGTGAAATTAATAATGACGTCCTAATAAATCATACAAAACAACTTCAAACCAAATTCACTACAAAGCTCAAGAGGTCTAGAAATCATTTACATTCTTTTTCAGTTTGAGGAGAGAATTAATCCAATTTCTGATAAATTAATTCTGTAAAATTTGAAATAAAAAATGGTGTGCTTCCATGGAAGTATACTAAGCTATGTTCAACTACAAGGATCTGCTACTCTAAAAAAAAAAATCCAGAAATTTTGTTATGAGATCCCTTAATTTAATTTTTATTTGTAGATCTAACCCTAATGCTCCAAAATTTGTGAAATCAGATCTTGCATGCTTAGCTTACATTTTATATATTCTTTTACTTAATTTTTTGTCAATTTGATAGTTAGGTACACACATAGAGACATCAAAAATTAAAAACAATAAAAATAAATAAAAAAAAACATACAGAAACACATACCTGTTGCCAAGAAGGGCTTGCAGGTGGATTATCATCTTCTCCTCATCCGCCGTGAAATCGCCGCGTTTGATCCCCGGCCTCAGATAATTCGTCCACCGGAGCCTGCAGCTTTTGCTGCACCTCATCAACCCTAAAAAAAACATAATAAAAATTAAAATCAAGCTGATTTTATCAAAAAGAAAAAAAAAAGCTAGCAAATAAAAATTTAATTAATTATATGCATTCAAATAATGAGGAGGTGGAGCTAGCTAGCTGCACACCCATTTATGACACAGCCTTAAATGTCTCTAACCAACCCCAAAACAAAAAAATAAAAATAGAAAAAAATAACACAAAATAAAATTGAAAAGGGATTCTTTTTTTTATTCTTTCTAACTTTTTTTCGTTCCTTAAAATTTTAGTTACCTGTGTTAGTAGGAACAGCCCTCCAATTCCCAGGGCCATGTTCTTGAATGTAAGAGACCAAGATGATGTCTTCTTCTGGAGTCCATGGCCCTTTCTTCACACCAATTTTATCACAGCAAGGTGGCCTTCCCATCTTTCAATTTGATTGATTCTAACAACAAAAGTAAAAAACAAAAAAGGAAAAACAATCAAAAGTTCCAGCTTAATTTTTCAAGAAGAGGGTTTTTTTTTTTTTTTTCCTATTTGTTTCTCTCTTTTGATTTGCTATTTTTCTCTTCCTTTTTAAAGAAAATTTGTAGAGACAAGAGTCTTACACTAGTGAACGGGTGTGAAATTTTGTCCAAGGGGAATATATAGACAAAAGACCCAAGTAAACTGTTTAGGCTGACCATATAATAATAAATTCATAATTAATATAATTTTAGAGAAAAAAAAGTATTTTTTATAAAAAAGAAAAAGGAAAAAAGAAAGGATTTTGAAATGGGGCTATCATCATCGGAAAGAGTCAAAAGCGGACAGCAAAGAGCATTTACTCTTTTGCTTGCAAAAAGTCAGCTGTGTGCTTATAGTGATTAGTGATCCCCTTTTCCATTTTTATTTTTTATATATTTATTCGATTTTTTTCTCTTTCACTCTCGGCCACACGAAACCGCGTGGCCATAAATATCATTATTTTTAATGTTGTTGAGGGGGAAAATATAATTTTTACTTTGGGCTCATGTACCAACTTCAATTACAACCTAATTTAGTGTTACTCATGAGTATTGACTACTCATCCACTATTTAGTTTTTGTGTGAAATTCAAATCTAGTCTTCGATAAGGAATTTTTCGTCTAATATTATTAATTTATGTGCATATGTCCTTCGGAGACCTTGGTGCTTGAATATTTATAGACCAAGAGTTCCCATCTAGTGGGAATTTTTATTTTATTTTCTTTTCTTGTACAAGTGCTTGTGTAGTTTATGTAATTAAGCAACGGGAGAAAACGAGTGCGGTCCCACGCATGTGAAATGCACCATAACGAGAAAAGCTTATATAAAGTCCAAGTGAGGTTTCATCCCAAAATTAATTGGTGAAAGGAAAAGTAGCCCACTGGGCTTATAAGTTAAGCTTATTTTTCATGTGTAAATGATGTGGGACAACTCACAAGTAGTATTATATTCTAATACGCTCTCTCACTTGTGAGTCTTTCATACGAAGCCCAAGCCATGTAAAAAACGGGGGAAAACGGGTGCAGTCTCACACACGTGAAACACACTATAAGAGGGAAAGCCCAGATGAAACCCAAGTGAGTTTTCATCCCAAAACCAATTGGTGAAAGGAGGAGAGGCCCACTAGGCTTATAAGTTGGGCTTATTTTCCCTGTATAAACAATGTGGACAACTCACAAGTGGTATTATATTCTAATACGCCCCCTCACTTGTGAATTCTTCATACGAGGCCCAAGTCCAACTGGGCTGGGTGACGGGTACGTCATCGCATGGTCCTACGTAGAATCGGCTCTGACACCATGTAAGAAACGGGAAAAAACGGGTGCGGTCTCATGCACGTGAAGCGCACCATAACAGGAAAAGCATATATGAAGCTCGAGTGAGGTTTCATCCCAAAACAAAATGGTGGGAGGAGGAGTAGCCCGCTAAGATTATAAATTAAGCCTATTTTTCCTGTATAAGCGATGTAGGACAACTCACAAGTGGTATTATATTATAATAGTTTAGATCGCATTTTTTTTTTTAATTTGAATGTTGCAAAATTGATATAATTTAGATTGCATTTCAACAAAATTGTTCGAAATAGACTTTGTGTAAACTAATACAAAGTTGCTAAAATATTTAAACTACATTGTATATTCTATTAATAGACTATGGTGTCCGGGAGCCTTAGAAATGGACCTGGGTTGTACTTGATGTGTTCCAGGATTCTCACCGTCTAGCACAAGTCCCAATTTTAACGGGTTCAAAATGGTAGTGAAAACCCGTCCAGGTGCGTCCAAGTAACGGGACCCATCGCTGGCATGATGCCCGTCACGAGCACGATGATACAGACAACAGTGCGATCATGGGCGCAGCCCTGCGCGTCTGTCGCTCGCGAGCGCGAGGTAGCTCATGAATGCGACGCTGCTCAACGCCCTGTAGAACCGCGCGATGGTGTATGTTTGTTGTGTTTTTGAGGTATTTTTTATGTGTTTTTCGTGCCTTAGTTGAGTCATTTTAGATTCGTTTTAGTGCCGACCGGTCCATTTTGTCGTGTTTTGTGTATTTTTGCCATCGTTTTGTGTTCTTGTGGTTCGACGTATTTTCTTATCTTTTTTATATTAATTAAGTCCATTATGCGAAGCTAGGGAAGAATAGTCGTCCGAGTCCTTGCCGAGCCATCACGGGATTTTTCTGAGTCATTATCCGGACCATCCGAGGCATGCAAGAGAGAAAGTTGAGACTCGAGGCAGTACCGCGTACTCGCCACGAACAAAGACCAGCGCCTGCCAGAGACCAGACACTCGGGACCCAGGCGTTAGCTCGCGACCGCGCTAGTGCTGCTGATGGAGCCCGAGAACTCGTGATCCAAGCCTGCGTTCGCGAGCGCGTGAGTACTGGTCGAGCAAGACAGACACTCACGACCCAACGCAGCATTTCGCGAGCTCGTGAGTTCAGCCGAGAGTAGCCGCGACACGCGCGACCTGAGTGCCCATCCGCAGGCGCGTGAGTTCAACCCTATGCCAGCAGCACACTCGCGATCCGAGTGACCGTCCGCAGACGCGCGAGTTCATCCCAGGGCCGCACACATACTCGCGACCCAACTCCAAGTCTGCGGCGTCGCTAGTCACGACCTGTGTCAGCACCTTGTCGCTTGTGACCCCAACTCCATTTCGGGATGTTGCTAGTGTAGTTCATTAAATGTGTGTGTTTTAGTGCATGTTTTTGTTGTTAGTATAAATTCTTTTATTGTTGTGTGATGGAGGAACCAAGACTTCATTTTATTTTATTTCCCTCTTGAGAATTGCTCTCTTTTTATTTTTTTTCTCTCTAGACAAATTTGTGGAAGTTCTAACCGTACTTTTCCGGCGATTTTTCCAACTATGCTTGTTTTTATTAAAGACTCGATCATTTCACGTCTATTTTGCTTGAGAGTGCATAGGGAAGTAAGTACCTAGGTTTAGGAGTTATTATCTCATTTATTGCTCTATTTTTGCTTACTTCAGGTTAAGAAAAGTAGTTTCTTGTCAGAATGTGCGTGTTGAGTTCGTTTTTAGTTAAAGTTTTGACCTTTTCATATGTATTGCTCTTGGGAATGCATAGGGAAGTAAGGAATTAGTGTTAGGATTTATTATCTCGTTTATTACTCTATTTTTGCTTACTTAATTTTAAGAAGTAAAATTAGTTTCTCGTTCATAATTTGTGTGTTGAGTTAAGTTCTAGGTAAAAATGCTAACTTTTATTTTATCTTGCTTATCGAATGTGGTTGGTTGATTAAAATTTGAATCATTTGAGAGAAAAATCGAGACTTTGTTCAAAGGTCGGTTATTTCAAAATCATTTGTTCGGCTTTAGTTCTAATTGTGTGAGATATAGCTTGTTTCTATTTGTTTGAGGCTTTTCTCGGGTTTGAACACTCTGTTGCAAGTGAAGTCTAGAGATTTCTTCTATTTTCTCATAATAATGCTTAGTATGTTTAGGACTTTAATTGTTTTCCCTTTTTGTACTTTCGACAACTAACGAGTGAACGAAATTTCGAATAGTTTTCCTTTGAAAGACGACCCGAGTGTGACCCTTCGGTCGTACTCGGCTAAAAACAACTAAACAAAATGGCGCCGTTGCCGAGGAAGGCAAGTAGTATGCCAAGTTTGTTTATTAGTTGTCCTTTGTTTATGTATTTCTCTTGATTTTTGTGCTATTTGCTTAATTTTCGTGTTTCTCTTGCTTTCTCGTGCTTTTGGTAGATAGTTTGTGTTTGGTTCTTGTTTCCCATTGGTGCCTTCACGGGTATAGCTTTAGTTTGTGTGTATGCGAGGTACATGAGGACGTGGTATCTGAGAGGAGACACCACCGATCAATCTATACGTTGAGCTTAACATAGACGGAAACATGAGATATTTCACGCGAAACAATGGCGAATCAAGAGGAGCAACTACCTGTTTATAGTATTTTTGGGCATGTGGTAACCGAGCTACCCGACTCGGGTCGTTCTCAAAGGAAGGTTGTTCGGAGCTTCGTTTACTACCTAGTCGTCAAAGTCACATTACCAAAAAGAAGGTCCTAAACATTCTACTCGCTTGATTGTGGGTTATTTGCACGCAATTAAACTAAGAATCTAGAGAAATGATGAAAAATGCAAATCTAGAGAGAAAAATTGAAACTTTGGTCTACCGGAATCTCCACGACTCAAGAAAAAGAAAATAAACAAGAGAAAACATGTGAGCATAGTGATCCTAGGTAATCTAACACGAGCTTTCTACACTAGGTCATCACGCTTTAAGCAAAGTCGAGATCTCTACACAAGATAAGCACATATAGATTCCTAACACAAGTAAGCAAGCAATAAAAATAAAGCAAAAACCTAGAAACGAACATACACACAATTCGACAATCAAACTCGAAGTAGAAGGGCCTAAGCTAGGTAACTACTCTCCTATCGCATGCTTCAACGAAAATAGTGAATAAAGCTCGAAACTTGAATAAAACTAAGCTTGTCGGAATTTCGCCAGAAAATTGAGTCATGGACCTCCCAACCAAAGCAAAAAAAAAAAGAAAAGAGAGAGAAGAGAGAAAATGGAGAAGATTTCCCAACTTAAAAGTTGGGATATGAGGGTTGTGTTAAAAATACAAAGCACCATGTCTTTATATAGCTACACCACAAACACACACTAAAAACACGTACATTTAAATACACACTCTCGAGGTCGCGGGTGGATTCGCGAGCCGCGGGCACGGATGGCGCAAGTGAGGCACGAGGAAGGTCGGGTGCGGCGCTGGGAAAATGTGGCACTCTCGACCTCGCGATGGAATTCGCGCGCGCGAAGCGCGCTGGGAAAGCACTCTCGAGCTGGCGGGGCTCGGTCGGGTCGGGTCGGACGGCTTGGTCGGGTCGGCTCGTTCGGTTCGGTCGGCTCATTTTCCCAAGCTCATCAAATGAACCTAATCAACACCAAAAAGACAAGAAAAGTACGGCAAAACACTAAAACACATAACGAACACAAAAATACACGAAATACGATAAAATGAACCGGTCGACACTAAAATGAACCTAGAAATACTAAACTAAAGCACATAAAACACACGAAAATAAGCACAAAAACACAATAAACACTACCACCGCCGCCTCCGAACATGAGATATTTCGCGCGACATTATTAGAGATAACACAT